ACTATAGCTAATTTCTTTGTTTACCTTTTAATATATATTTGTTTTGAGATTTTCTTATTTGTATCATTATTTTAAAAGATTTTATTTATTTATTTGCCAGAGAATGAGAGAGAGAGAGAGGCAAGCAGAGGGAGAAACAGGCTCCCCACTGAGCAAGGAGCCCAACACAGGACTCAATCCCAGGACTCTGGGATTATGACCTGAGCTGAAGGCAGACACTTAACCGATTGAGCCACCCAGGTGTCCCTCTTTGTATTCATTTTACTTTGGGATGTTTTTATATTTTTTCACTACTAGTTTTATTTTCTTTGTACATTTTCCTTTTTAAATCATTTTCTTAACTCTACAATAGTTGAGAGGCTTTATTTATCCCTTTTTTTGTTTTTTAAAGATTTTATTTATTTATTTGACAGAGAGAGACACAGCGAGAGAGGGAACACAAAGGGGGAGTGGGAGAGGGAGAAGCTGGCTTCCTGCTGAGCAGGGAGCCTGATGCAGTGCTGGATCCCAGGACGCTGGGATCATGACCTGAGCCGAAGGCAGATGCTTAACGACTGAGCCACCCAGGCGCCCCTATTATTCCATTCTTAATATCCTCCATAATGATAAGTGTGCTCTGTTCTGATTTTTCTCTTTTATTCTTTTCTTGTTAAAATCTCCAATGCAGTTAATTAATTCCTATTTAAGGCTAAACCACATTTATTAGAAAATTTGCTTTTAATTTGCATTTAAATGTTCAGTTTTAGAATCATAAACTGAATCCCAGCTTTCTCTTACTCATGAGTACTCATTTTGCACAGTGAGTGTCTGGATGGTAGCTCTCCTAATTTCCTCACCTGACAGTTTCACCATTGTAATTTGTCAGTGGATTCCAACATTGCGTTCCTTAATTGATTTTCTGTTTGAAATGTTCTAAATAATCCAGAGTTTTATTTCAGACTCAGAGTCAAGTGAGTAATGATTTTCTCTACCATTTTCCTGTAGACAGTAAATCATCAAGAAATTGTGCAGGCTGAATAAGTTTAAGAAGTGCTCTGAATTAAATTTTTGGATATCACCATTGATCTCATATAAAAACTATATCTCTAATCACGAACTCCCTTAGATTCTGTTATTGGATTTTTAGCCACTTATTGAACATTCCTATTTAAATATCCTCTATCCCCACTTGATAATACCTTTGGACTTAAAATATATAAAGTCTGATTGGTAACATGATATCAACATTCTCCCTGTCATCTGTACTCAGATTTTCATAGTTGTCTTTGATCTCCCATAATTGTGAAGAAAAACATCAGGGCCTGCTGATTCATTCTTTAAGGATCAGCTTAATCCTACTAGTTACCACCTTAGTTCAGGCACTTAAAACTTCATACCTGGATTATTGTATTCTGCTGCCATCAGATGAATATTTTTTAATCAATACTTTCATATCCTTACCTTTACTGAAAAAAATTCAGTGAGTTCCCATTGCATACAGGAAAAGTTTAAGTGACTTAACATATTTTCCATAAGATAAAGTATATGGGAATACTTTGAAAACCTCTGAAAACTGACAATTTGAAAAGAATTATTGGCTTCTTCATCTCTTTTTTCAGCTTTATCTTCCATACTTCCTTACAGGAGCCATCTACTTTAACACAGTTAAATGCTCTCTTACAACAGATATTGACTCTCTCCATCTCTAGTTGGTTCAGCTTAATATTTATTAAGCACTTATTCTTTGTTAGGTGTGTATTTCTGGAATATATAAAGAAGACACATTTTCTTCTCAATTTCAGTTCTGTTTAGTCTTCAAAACTGAGCTGAAAGCTTAAGCTCTCTGTAAAGCATTCCTTTGATTACTGTAGCCTATGATAAGTTTTTCCTTTCAACCAGAAATATGGTTTGTAAGGGCGCCTGGGTGGCTCAGTCGTTAAGCATCTGCCTTCTGCTCAGGTCATGATCCCAGGGTCCTGGGATTGAGCCTCACATCAGGCTCCCTGCTCGGCGGGAAGCCTGCTTCTCCGTCTCCCACTCCCCCTGCTTGTGTTCCCTCTCTCGCTGTGTCTCTCTCTGTCAAATAAATAGAATCTTTAAAAAAAAAAATATATGGTTTGTATTCACTGATTTATATTCAACTCCCCCCACCTGATACTTACAAGATAACATATGCAAAAAAAAGTACATTACCATGGACAGCTTAATGAATAATTTTAAAGCGAACACCTTTGTAACCACAATCAAGTTCAAGAAATGGAGTATTACTGGTGCCCCAGAAGCCCACCACATGCCCTTCCCCAATCAAACCTCTCCCTTCTCTCCTTTCTAGAGGTAATGATCCTTTTGTGATAATCACATTCTTGCCTCTATGTATAGTTCTTCCACCTGTGTATGCAGCCTTAAACAATATTGTATTTCCTGTTTCTCAAGTTTAAGTGAATGGAATCACATAACTTTTGACTTGTTTCTTTCAACATTTTGGTGTTAAATGTAGCTGAAGTTCATTGCTGTACATATTTATCTAACGACTGATGAACATTTGGGTGGTTTCAGTTTAGGGCTATTATGAATATAGCTACTTTGCTGTGCAGAAGCTTTCAGTTTAATGTAGTCCCACTTGTTTACTTTTGCTTTTGTTGCTTTTGCTTTTGGTGTCAGATTCAAAAAATCATCACCAAGATTTCTATGTCAAGGAACTTACTGCCTACATTTTCTTCTTGGAGTTTTATGGTTTCAGGTCTTATTTTCAAGTCGTTAATCCATTTTGAGGAAATTTTTGTGTATGGTATGATATAGTGGTCAAGTTTCCTTCTTTTGCATGTGGCTGTTCAGTTTTCCCAATATTATTTGTTGAAGATACTGTCCTTTCACCACTGTCTTTCTGGCCTCCCTGTCGTATATTAATTGACGACATATGCATGGGTTTATTTTTGGGCTCCCTATTATGTTCCATTAATCTATGTGTCTCTTTTCATGCCAGTGCTATAAAAATTATTATAGCTTTGTAATATAGTTTGAAACCAGAGAGCATGATGTCTCCAGCTTTGTTCTTTCTCAGAATTTCCTTTGGCCATTTGGGGTCTTCTCTGGTTTCATACTTATTTTAGGATTTTTTTCTATTTCTGTGAAAAATATCTTTGGAATTTTGATAGGGATTGCATTGAATCTGTAGATTCTGTGTCTCCAATTTTTTAAAAGACTTTATTTACTTATTAGAGAGAGAGAGAGAGAGAGAGAGAGAGCATGAATGGGGGAGGGGCAGGAGGGGAGGTGGAGAAGCAGACTCCCTGCTGTGCAGGGAGCCCCAGGCAGATCTAGATCCTAGGGTCTTGGGATCGTTACCTGAGCCGAAATCCGGAGTCAGACGCTTGACTGACTGAGCCACCCAGGTGCCCCTCTATTTTCTTGAGGTGTAAAGTTAGCTTGTTGAGACCTTTCTTGTTTCTTGAGGTAAGCATTTATTTCTGTGAACTTCCATCTGAGAACTGCTTTTGCGATCCCATAAATTTTGGCATATTAAATTTTCATTTTTCTTTGTCTCAGGTATTTTTTAAATTTCTTTTGATTTCTTCTTTGACCCATTGATTATTCAGTAGCATGTTGTTATGTCTCCACATATTTGTGAATTTTCTAGGTTTTTTCCCTTGTAATGAATGTCTAGTTTCATACTATGTGGTCAGAAAAGATGCTTGATAGGATTTCAGTCCTCTTAAATTAAGACTTTCTTTGTCCTAACAAAGATATGTCTTAGCAAATGTTCCATGTGCACTCGGGAAGATGTGTATCGTGTTGCTTTTGGATGGAATGTTCTGTAAATATCTGTTAAGTCCCATCTGTTGTAACATGTTGTTTAAGGCTGATGTTTCCTTATTGATTTTCTGTCTGGATGTTCTATCCATTGATGTAAGAGGGGTATTAAAGTCTTCTAGTATCATTGTACTGCTGTCTCTTTCTTCCTCTGGGTCTGTTAATATTTGCTTTGTCTATTTAGGTGCTCCTATGTTGGGTGCATAAATATTTACACGTTATATCTTCTTGTTGGATTGAGCCCTTTTTCATTATGTAACTTGCTTTTTTGTTTCTTATTACAGTCGTCGTTTTAAAGTCTATTTTAGGGACGCCTGGGTGGCTCAGTTGGTTGGGCGACTGCCTTCGGCTCAGGTCATGATCCTGGAGTCCCGGGATCGAGTCCCGCATCGGGCTCCCTGCTCGGCAGGGAGTCTGCTTCTCCCTCTGACCCTCCTCCCTCTCATGCTCTCTGTCTCTCATTCTCTCTCTCTCAAATAAATAAATAAATAAATAAATCTTTAAAGTCTATTTTATCTGACAATAAGTGTAGTTACCCCAGCTTTCTTTGGTTTCCGTTTGCATGGAATATCTTTTTCCATCCCTTCCATTTTTAGTCTATTTGCCTTCTTACTTTGAGAGCTTGTCTCCTGTAGGCAGTATATAGATGAGTCTTGTTTATAAAAGATCCCAAGTTTTATAAAAAGGTTTATTAATAAGCAAAGCTTTTTGCCCTATCAGCATTAATTTGATAGCAAAAAGTATCAATCAACAAGTATTTTTTGTGAGTGCCTGCTGTGTACCATTTATTTGTTTAAGCTTTGAAAACAAGAAACAAAATTCCTCCACTCACCGTCTTATGTTTTTTAGTCAGTGTTAAGACTGCATTTATCCAATCCTGTTTTATGCCCCAGAACACTGAGCAATCATTGACAGAAATTCGATTAAAAGTATTAAGGCAGGTGCACCTGGGTGGCTCAGTCGTTAGGCATCTGCCTTCGGCTCAGGTCATGATCCCAGGGTCCTGGGATCAAGCCCCTCATCGGGCTCCCTGCTCCGTGGGAGACCTGCTTCTCCCTTTCCCACTCCCCCGCTTGTGTTCCCTCTCTCGCTGTCAAATAAATAAAATCTGTAAAAAAAAAAAAAAAAAAAAAAAAAAAAGTATTAAGGCAGCCAGTAGTCAATAAGCATGTAATCCTTGGAGCCAAACGGACTTTGGTTTCAGTTCTGATCACAGAAATGTGTGATCTTGCACACTTTATCTAAGATCTCTGAAATTCAGTTTGTCATCTGCAAAATGGAAATAATAGCCCATAATGTTATGATGATTCAGTGAGGCATTTAATACATGTGAACTACCTAGCACATCACCTGACAGGTGTTCATCATCAACAGTGATGAAATCTAAAACCACCTTATCACCCAGTGCTTATGCTCGTGTCAGGCTGCAGGTGGAGGACCAGGGTGAGAGAGGAAACTGGAATGATTCCCATGTGGGTCCCAGCCACATATGAAGATGGTATGTAACTCATCTTCCATTTTAGGATTTCGGGTTGTGGAATGGGGACAGGAGAGTGATGTGAGAGAGGCCACAAAGCATTTGTAGTCCCCTTAAATGCAGGAGCAAAATGGAGGGAAAACCAGCAATTTTACCACATCTTCCTTCTACTTCCGTTATACATCTGGTGAAGATGGGTGTGTGTGTGTGTGTTTTACTATTGTAATTATGACAGTGTTGTTTTCCAACTCTGTTTACATCCCGTATTGCCTCTCTTCATTTTTATTTGATTATTGTTGCCCTAGCAATATTAAAATGAAGATATTTTCTTTTACTGTGACTGGCATTGAAACTAAAAGTTCAATGTGAGAGCAGTAAAATTGAATAAATAACTGCATTCATGGCAATATTATTACCAATGTATTGTTCTGTAACGTTTCATTATAGCTTGTAGATTTTCAGTGGAAGCTGGGTATGGCCGTGAGCTCGGACAGTTGCAGGTCTCTTAAGGATCCTTATGTTGCCGTGCTGCTGAAAGTGGCAGATCATTCAGGCCAAGTAAAGAACAAGTCCTTTGAAATGACAATTCCACAGTTTCAGGTTTGTGATTTCACTCATTCAGCTGTAGTTCATTGTTCTGTAATTGCTACTTAAATATGTATAAAATCTTTCTTAAGGGAAACTTTTAATTGTTTTTATTTACACACAAAAGATCTGAATTTGTTTTCTTTGGGAATTTGATACATTTCAATATTTTCAATATAATGCTGAATTAGTGTACTGTCATATTTGATCACTTTCACAGTACTCCCCTTCTGTGAATATATTTACGACATTTTCATCTTCTCTGGCAGGATATTTACTTTGCATTTAACTATTTTACTCTTATTCTTTTTAGGCTTAATATTCAGGAATGATAAGCTAAATGAATCTTATCTTTGAACAGTGGTCTTGACCCTCAATTTTCTGATTAATAATGTTTATAAAATGCTGATCAGAGTAACAGTACGTGATGGTAGTTTTATCAGTTAGAGATTTGAATAACTCAGTGGTTTATATGTAGAGTTCTCTTATTCATACTATCATTTCTACTTCTTTTCTGTAAGCAAGGAAGAAAAAAAGAGGTTGAGTGAAAAATTAGATTTTCTTTTAAAGGTACATTCAAGGAAATGTTTTTATCATTGACTACTTTAACTGACCTTAGAGTTTTGTTTTTGTTTGTTTTGATTGCTTTGGTGAGTGAATACTTAAGAATCCTCACAATAGTTAGTACTCTAAGAAGAGTAAAGTACTCTAAAAAACAACCAACCAACCAAGTAAATGCAATGGAAATATAGTAAGAATTCTTTGTAAAACTAAAAATCTATTGGTCCTAGGCTTACCTTTTAAGAAAAGCCTCTTATATACCTCTTTAAGATACTTTTGATTTCTTCTTTTACAGACTACACTCTTCCCCTAGCATTATTGAGCTATAGTTAACAAAAATTGTATGTATTTCAGGTATATGATGTGATGTTTTGATTGAGAAATGATTGAGATTGAGAAATGATTACCACAATCAAGTTAATTAACATATCCACTACCTTATATGGCTACCTTTTTTATGTATCTGTGTGGTAAAAACACTTGAGATCTACTCTCTTAGCAAATTTCAAGTACACAATACATTATTATTAACTATAGTCACCATACTATACATTAGGTCTCCAGAACTTACACATCTTAAAACTGAGTTTGTACCTTTGACCAACATCTCATTTCTCTTACTCCCCAGCCCTGGTAACCACTGTCTACTCTTTTGTTACTATGAGTTCTACATTTTATCTGTGTCTGGCTTATTTCATTTAGCATAATATCCTCCTAGTTCATTCATGTTGTCAAAAATATCAGATTTCTTTCTTTTTAAGGATGAATAGTATTCTATTGTGTGTATATATGTGTACACACACATACACACACCACATTTTTTAATGCATCCATCTGTCAATACACAGTTATGTTCTTTCCATACCTTAGCTACTGTGAGTAATGCTGCAAAGAACATGGAGTATAGATACCTCTTGAGGTAGTGATTTTATTTTCTTTGGATATATACCCAGAAGTAGGATTGCTGGATCATATGGTAGTTCTCTTTTACAAATTACATTTTAAGGGTTTTTATTCCCTTTGATTTCTTTCTTTTAAAAGATACCGCTGCTTTCGAACAAAAACCCATGATCACAGATTCAACATTATTAATGCTAATTAGCGTCCTGGAAAGAATTAAGTCTTGGCGAAAAGGAAATATAGTATATTATGATATGTGAATAGCCTTCAACTGAATATAAGGACCAAGTCAACTTAAAAAAAAATACAGATTTCATTCCTTTATATTGTGAATTATATTCACAATCTTGGCTCCGTTCTTATTTTTCTGTATAGCATTCATGCTCTCTGATTCCACCTCTAAGAATTTTTTTTCCTATAGGAAAAGAATCACAAATGGGACAGATCTTTTAAAGATTGTTTTTACATGTCTTTTAACCAGGAACAGAGCCTTTTAGTTACATTGCAGGACTGAGAGCATAGCAACATTTTTTGAGCTTTTATTTTTTTTTAAAGATTTTATTTATTTATTTGACAGAGAGACAGCGAGAGAGGGAATACAAGCAGGGGGAGTGGGAGAGGGAGAAGCAAGCCTCCCGCCGAGCAGGGAGCCGGATGCAGGGCTTGATCCCAGGACCCTGGGATCATGACCTGAGCCGAAGGCAGACGCTCAACGACTGAGCCACCCAGGCGCCCCGAGCTTTTAATTTATATCTTTCTTGTAGCTGAAATTTTGACTGTCAGTATATAGCTTCATTCCATTAATGAATTTACATATAAACTAAAACGAAATATATATACTCTTAAGTAGCAAAATAGAGAATTAAGACCACATAAGAAGGAAAATGCAAATTTGTAAATCATTAGAGAGTATTCTAATTGCTGGAGTTAAGTTTCAAATTTGCCTCCTAGCTTCCCGGCAGGTAGAGAAGAAAGGAAAACAGAATTTGTTTGCTTCCTCTCTGAAGAGATTTTGGGAGATGGAAAAAAAAAAGATGACTTTTATAGGAGAACAACCATACCAGCTTAATTTTTAAATGAAAGGGAAATATGCTTCTCCCATATAAGCCATTTTCAGTGTTGGGTCTTTCTTATTGTAACTAAACCCATATCTTAAAGAAGACAGCTCCTATCACCCTGAAAAACAGTCTTTCACTAGATTTAAAGTGGTTTGAAGCCTGGAAACTGAACTTTTTATTTTTATATTTTTAAAGATTTTATTTATTTATTTGACAGAGAGGGACACAGCAAGAGAGGGAATACAAGCAGGGGGAGTGGGAGAGGGAGAAACAGGCTTCCCGCTGAGCAGGGAGCCCGATGGAGGGCTTGATCCCAGGACCCTGGGATCATGACCTGAGCCGAAGGCAGACGCTTAACGACTGAGCCACCAAGGCGTCCCTGAACTTTTTTTTTTTAAAGAGCTGCATGCTGTGGGTGTCTGGGTGGCTCAGTTGCTTGAGCATCTTACTCTTGATTTCTGCTCAGGCCATGATATCAGGGTCGTGAGATTGAGCCCCGCATCAGGCTTTGCGCTCAGCACGGTCTGCTTGTCCCTCTGCCTTCCCCTGTGCCCCTCCACCTGCTCTCCCTCTCTAAAATGAATGAATGAATGAATAAATAAATAAAATCTTAAAAAAAAAAAGAGTTGCACGCTCTACCAACTAAATGAGCCAGGCGCCCCCCTTCCCCAAACTCATTTTTGTTTTTACCTTCATTGCCTAGTACAGTGTTGGGTATTTAATAAAAGAACTTTCTTTTGTGCTTTTAAAAATTTTAGTTATGAGCTAATTATCCAACTCTACAATGGTATTTGTCCTTGTGGTACCAAATTGCACCTGTTTGTTTTTTTTATAACTTTCCCATAATAATAGTTAGTGATATAAACTTGAACAAATTTAATATGTCATATGGCCTTTAGTGGTCAAGTATAAGTAAAAGAACTACTTACATATCCTCTAAAAGCTAAGTTAATATTATTTTTCCTTTTTCTCTCCAGAATTTCTACAGACAGTTCAAGGAAATTGCTGCAGTTATTGAAACTGTGTGAAAACTGATTACTTGGTTGATAAATTACTACCATCATTCTAAAATCATGGACTTCACTTTCTGTAACAAAACTGTATAAGGATCAAATGATATTTATTGAATGAAAATTGTTTTTTTGTTTTTCCATTTTTTAATAATAAAAAAATCAGACAAACAAGAATTAGATAGTGGTGATCAATGCAAAACTTTGTGAATGTACTAAAAGCTGCTGAATTGAACACTCTAAAGGGTGAACTCTGTGTTATGTAAATTATATCAATAAAAAATTAAATGAATGATTGATATTGAAGGCAATACAAGTTTATGTATTAGACCAATAATTTTAAAACTTACTAATAATTGTACCCATTTTATAAACAAAATCTTTTATGGAGTCCTATATATAAACTATATATAAATTTAAAAAGTAGCATTTGATTACAATAACATTACAAATTCAATTTTCTAATCTCATTTATCATAACAGCAATCAGTGAGAAGACTGAGCCTACTCCTTCTCGAGCATTTAGATCAGGTTAGGACTGATCATTGCTGCCTTATATTAAGTAAGCACTTAGTTGTTTCTGTTATTAACATTTATAGGAAGTTCAGATACATGCACGGATATAGAACAGTAAGATTTATTTTGAGTTCTACATATAACTGAGTTAACTTGGTGGCACAAATTATTGTTAGATGATTTTCTATCTAAAATTTAAATTTATAAACCAGTTATTAAACTATTTTATAAAGCCAAGCAAAGGACACTGTATGGCATTGCTTAGGAATAAACAAACAGATCACTGGAATAGACTAGGTGGCCTAGAAATAGATCCAGCCATTTGGGACATGGATGGTATTTCAGTTGGGTGGGAAAATGTGATTTATTTAATAAATTATACTAGCACTCACGACATATGCAAAAGTAAATTCCAGATGGATTAATGCCTTTAAAATATAAAAATTTTAAAAAGTAGTCTGTAAAAAGTTTTACAGAATATTTATGTTCACTAAGGTTTAGGCAGACAGCAGTTCCAAAGCTATAACATACAACATAGATACACTTGAAATACAAGAATTAAAAAATTATATGTGGGGAAAAAAAACGGGCCATTAAATACAAAAGACAAATGCTAGGTGGATGTATAAGTTAGTTCTTGGTCTGGAAAAAAAATTGCTTTAAATATTTCAAGTAGGAAGAGATTTTTTTTTTTAATTTTTATTTATTTATTTATTTATTTATTTATTTATTTATTTATTTATTTATTCTTATGTTAATCCCCATACATTACATCATTAGTTCTAGATGAAGTGTTCCATGATTCATTGTTTGTGCATAACACCCAGTGCTCCATGCAGAATGTGCCCTCCTCAATACCCACCACCAGGCTAACCCATCCTCCCACCCTAGGAAGAGATTTTATACAAGAAGTGAGATGCTCACTAACCTACCAGACTGAAGGGAAAAGTCAAGAGAAATTACTGCTGGCTTTTAGAAATCCAGTGGCGCAGGGTCAGGGAAAACCACAGCCAATAATCTCTGCATGATGCAGGACATACCTGGAAGCCACCGTGCGTGCCATTTCTGCCATCTGTCAACGTGTGTAATGAAATAAAGGCTCCTCGCTTTCTTTGCCCTTCCTAATTTCACAGCAAGAATAACTCTTATTGGTGGAAGTTAAACCAGGACCCTGTTGACAGAATCTGGTCAATTCAGTTTCTAGTCTTCTAGCACTTAGAGAGGAGATTTTGAAAAGCAAGAATGGTGCTGAGTATTCTTACTCTGCTGACAGAAATAGGAGTTCTTATGGTCCTTATGCAAAGTGATGACACACAATGTAGAAATTTCATAGTCCAGAAATGTCAGTCCAGAAATAAATCCTTTGAAATAAAGTTACCAGTACGTAAAGGTATTTGGCAAAATTGGTTGAATGTCATCCATTTCCTCTGTTTGGGCCCACAGGAAGACTGCATTTTCCAGCCTCCCTTGCAGTTAGGTAAGGACCTCATGATTGGGTTGTAGCCAATGGAGTCAGGGCAGAACTGTCCTAAGCCACATCCAGTTTTCGTCATAAATCCCTCTCATCTTCTGGCCAATAGACATACGAGAAAATGCTCAAAATCACTAGTCATCAGGGAAATGTAAATCAAAATCCAATGAGGTATCACCTTACACCTGTCAGAATGGTAAACTTGAAAGAAATAAGTGACAAAGGTGTGGAGAAAAACGCAGCCTCATACACGGTTGGTGGGACTGCAAATTAGGAAGGCCACTGTGGAAAACAGTATGGAAATTCCCCCCAAAATTTAAAATAGGAACAGTACATGGTCCAATAATTTCACTCCTGGGTATTTACCCAAAGAAAATGAAAACACTAATTTGAAAACATATGTACCCCTATGTTTATTGCAACATTATTTACAATAATCAAGATATGGAAGCAACCCAAGGGCCTATCAGTAGACAAATGGATAAAGAAGATGTGTGTGTACACACACACACACACTGAATATGATGTAGTCATAAAAAAGGAGATTGTGCCATTTGTGACAATGTGGATTGGCCTAGAGGATATTATGCTAAATGAAATAAGTCAGACTAAGATAAATAGATGATTTCACTCACACGTGGAATCTAAAAAACATAAATGAATAAACAAACAGCAGAATCAGACCTGTGACTACAGGGAACAATCTGATGGTTGCCAGAGGAGGGGCAAAATGGGTGAAAGGGCATGGAAGATACAGACTTCCGCTACAGAATGAATAAGTCAAGGAATAAAAGGCACAGAACAGGGAATAAAGTGAATGCTATTGCATGGTGACAGATGATAGCTACACTTGTGAGTGTATCATAGCATAGACTTGTCAAATCACTATGTTGTACACCTGAAACTAATGTAATACTGTGTATCAAATACACTCAAATTAAAAATTTTAGTTAGGGGCGCCTGGGTGGCTCAGCTGGTTGAGCGACTGCCTTCGGCTCAGGTCATGATCCTGGAGTTCCGGAATCGAGTCCCACATCGGGCTCCCTGCTCGGCGGGGAGTCTGCTTCTCCCTCTGATCCTCCCCCTCTCATGCTCTCTGTCTCCCATTCTCTCTCTCAGATAAATAAATAAAATCTTTAGGAAAAAAAAAAATTTTAGTTAACATCCTTCTCATCTTCCAAGCTCTCTCACATCCTTGCTACCAGAAATGAAGTTCTCTAAGAACAAAAGCGTAAGATGGATCCCTGAACCACTATTGGAGGCAAACGCCTTGAAATAATAACCTGACTTGCATCGGACGGTGGTGCAAACTAGAAGCAAACTTTTCTTGTGGTGAGCTGGTGAGCTATTTGGAGTGTTTGTCATAATACAAGTGAGCATACATTTGAATAGCACAAGATATATGAATGAAGATTTTTATTGTAGCATTTCCAGTGGCAAAAACACAAAATAAATGAAAGAGTGAATACCTGTCAATAAATGAATGGTTGAATAAATTTGGCCTATCTATGCTATAACATATACCTACTCCGATTTGAGATATTATCATTACATATTTTTATGTCTCATAAAATGATGTAAAAATGCATTCATAGGTATTTGAATACTTAATGGAAAATTACAAGTGTATGGAAGGATGCCTTCCAGCTTCAAAAGTACTAGTGGAGAGCGTGTCTAGAGAGGGGGTGGAAGAGCAGGTTAAAAAATGTCTTTTGTTGATGTCCATGATTCATGATAAATAAGCATAGTTCTTTTTTAAGATTTTATTTATTTTTTTGACAGAAAGAGACACAGCAAGAGAGGGAACACAAGCAGGGGGAGTGGGAGAGGGAGAACAGGTTTCCCTCAGAGCAGGGAGCCCAATGCAGGGCTCGATCCCAGGACCCTGGGATCATGACCTGAGCCGAAGGCAGACGCTTAATGACTGAGCCACCCAGGCACCCCATAAATAAGTATAGTTTTTTAAAAAAACCTGAAAATATATGATTTAAAAAAATATTTAAGTATGTTTTTGAAAAGTTCCTATGGTTCTTTTTATGGTATAATATTTTCTTACTTATTTTAATTTAACAAATATGTAGTGTTTAGAAGCAGGATTATTTGTAAAGTGCCTCCCCAAACCAGGATAGACAAACCTGAAATACATCAAATGTAGGCCTAGCCATGCTTTAGAAATGGTGAGCCCAGTTGAGTTTAACATGTTGGTTGGCATTGACGCAAGAAACACCTCTTATACCTTTGTTTCCTCTTCTGATCTTCCCTGTTGGAAATGATGTCTTTTTCGCACTGTCAACATTTCCACAAGTCCCCTATGTGAATCCACTTTGTTTCTTTCTCCTCTGCCAGGAAGCACACTGCTAAGAGGGGCCCGGGTCTACTGCCTGTTGCTGCCCACCTATGGTACTCAGAACCCACCTGCTTAAAGAGTTAGCCAGCTGGTCATTCATGCTTACCAGCTGCCTAGAGATATACCCTATGGTATACTCTGGATGGTAGCACATTAATGATTCTAGGATTCTGAGAAGCCAAAATCCCCTTTCCATCCCTTTTCCATTCTGTGGGGTACCAACTTCATTGTACTTCCAGAAATCAGAGTAGAAACCACCTCCACCCCAAGCTGGGAAATACAACGTACTTACCTTCCCAGACTGTGCATAGGGTCTCTCCATGTCCCATTCACCCAAATTCGATACCTTCCACTCCTCCCCTCTCCATTTGCAGTGTTTATGCAGAGTCCCAAAGTGAGGCCCTGGCTCAAACACTGTGGGTAATGGATCTGATTAGAATACATTTAAACTGTATCTTGAAATTTAACTTTTGTATTTAAAAGACAAGTTTATTTTTTCTTCCATAATACAGTTTTATACTATTTTCATTGCCAATGTCTACTTTTGCTTTTTATGAGTTTTGAGTTCACTGGGATGGCCTGGCAATTAACCACTGTTTGTAATAACATTTCTGTGGGAAAATGGGTTTCAAATTTTAAACACTTGCTCTTAAATGTAAACTTTTGGGAAAATAAAAACTTATTCTTAAGTTGAAAAAGGTATTAATGACCTTTTAGTTTCCAAAAGGGAATATATTGCCCTTGAACTCATCAAGCAAAACCCAAGTGTTTTCATATATTCTGCTACTGAGACAAGTTAACTTAAGTATCAGATTTATGAGAAAGAAGGCAAAATAGTCACATTTATTTAAAGGAATTGAAACTTCCAACATACTACCTTGATTTTAAAAGTGCTTAGCATCTAGAATTTTCAGTCTTTGGTTCTCATTTCCCAGTATTAACTGTTTGCCTTTTTTCCCCACTAT